GTTAAGTCACTTACTGTGTGTTCGGGGCAGTTACTTGAGCGCTCTAAGCTGAAATTTCAAGTCTGTTAAAAAAAAAAAAAAAGAGAGAGAGAGAGAAAGAATAACAGCCCTAGCCTGTTTGGCTCAGTGGATAGAGCATCAGCCTGCAGATTGAAGGGTCCTGTGTTCGATTCCAGTCAAGGGCACATGCCTGGGTTTCAGGCTTGATCCTCAGTAGGGGGGTGTGCAGGAGGCAGCCAATCAATGATTCTCTCTCATCATTGATATTTCTCTCTTTCCTTCTCCCTTCCTCTCTGAAATCAATGAAAATATATTTTAAAAAAAGAATAACAATAACATCCAAAGGACAGGGCTGTTAAGAAGAAATGTGTGTGGAAGCAGGACTCTCACGCTTGATTAAATTAATAATAAATGAATAATCACAACCTGGCAGGGAGCTTGGAGTCAAAACTGCTCTGAACCACAGTTTTTTTTTTTTTAATACTTTTTTTTAAATATATTTTTTTATTGATTTTTTACAGAGAGGAAGGGAGAGAGATAGAAAGTTAGAAACATCGATGAGAGAGAAACATTGATCAGCCGCCTCCTGCACATCTCCTACTGGAGATGTGCCCGCAACCCAGGTACATGCCCTTGACCGGAATCGAACCTGGGACCTTTCAGTCCGCAGGCCGACGCTCTATCCACTGAGCCAAACCGGTTTCGGCTGAACCACAGTTTTAAGAGTTAAACCAACACAGTCATGACGGAGAAGACTGGGCCCCCTACCGTTTTTCCCTATCATTTTTTAAATTATGGAGATAATAATTTTAGCCCACTGCCTCATACAGTTGTACCAGGAGATACACGGTACACTCAAATTGGGTATACTGAAGATAGATTAGTAAAGAGATTGTTTACAAAGGTGCATGGGCAGGAGTTAGGAAAAACACAGGCATAGAGCTAGCCATGATGGGGTCCCCTTTATGCTCAAGTCTTAAAGACTCAGGAGACATTGTTTAATGGGTTTAATGTGGAAAACCCAACACCAACCTCCCCATCAACACAGTCACTGCTTTCCCATTTCTACACCTTTGCTCATGCAGTCCCCTCCACCTGAAGGGCCTTCCCACTCTAGCGGGAGACTTGCTTGCTCTGCTCCCAAATATATTGAACTTTGACAAATTTCATCGAGAAGTGAATAATTTCCTGATACCACATTCTGAAAGGGCTTTTTTTAAAAATTGATTTGAGAGGGAGAGAGAGAAACATCAATTTGTTGTTCCACTTATTTATGCATTAATTGGTTACTTGTAAGTGCCCTAAACAGGGACTGAATCCACAACTTTGGTGTAGGGAGACTACACTCTAACCAAATGAGCTACCCGGCCAGGGCCCCTGAAAGGGATTATTGTGTGGACTATTACCTAGTAGACAATGTTGTCAACAGAGATTTTCTGGAAGATGTAGCAGCAGCTTTCCTCATGCGCCTGTTTCTGAGGGTGACTGCAGTACTGGCCAAGGACAAAGTATTGAAACCAGAGTGGATGGTGGTCTTTCTGTGAGTATAACTTGGGGTGACTGGGGTGGGTGATTATGGGCATAACCCTACCATGTCTGGGAATGGGTGGGTGACATGTACCTTCCCAAACACTGTTTTTGCTTATCTAAATGTGAATGTGAGTGGTTGTATCACATGGTACATGGCCCATCATCCAGCTGCTGGCTCCCAGGAAATGTACATGAAGGTTGCTTCGGCAAAACCCTCCCACTGATTTCTTCAAGGCTTTGGCCATGTCTCTGGGAGGCAGTTTGGTGAGTTAGTTTGGACAGTCTGTTGCCTGAGGACTCCTACGGCTGGTTTGGGGGAGGTCCAAACCCTGGAGACCTTTTTGGCAGCAGCCCCTGGGCCTACATGCTGATATCAAACCTTCATTTATTATTATTATTTTTAATGTTTTTATTGATTATAGAGAGAGAGGGGAAAGAAACATTGACGAGACAGAAACATCAATGGGCTGCCTCCTGCACACCCCCTACTGGGAATCGAACCGGTGACCTCAGTGCATGGGTCGACACTCAACCAACTGAGCCACACTGGCCAGGGCAATGGGTTTTTAAAATCATTCCTCTCTTCCTCTTGCCTTCTTGGTTTTCTGTCCCTTTCTTCCTCTCTCCCTCCCTCTCTCCTTCCCTCCCTTCT